ATCATCACCTCGAACCTCCGTCAACCAGAATCATACGATGCAATGATATTAGGTGCAGATCACCGCGCAACTACCACAAGACGCATTACTGCATACAGCCGCATGCATCAATGTGATTATCGCGTAGGTGAAACACCCTCACACCACACCAATATAACTCCAATCAACTTCGCCTCCAAAGTTTAGAATATACTCGGAACACCCGAAGTGTCCAAACATACTCTTTCACGATCCGAATGATAGTCGACGTATCATAGCGTAAACACTAAGACGCCAAACACCAACGGACCCTCACCCAAGCCAAGTGTAATAGCCAACGTATCATAGTGGAATACACTAAGACGCAAGCCACCACCAGACTCCCCAAAGTCAGATGATCAGTCGACGTATCATAGTGCAACACACTAAGACGCCAACTACCACCAAACTCTTACTATGCCGAATGACAGCCAACGGATCATAGTGATGGTCATTAAGACGCCAACTACCACCAGCTATCGATGATATGTCCCCCACTGAAGACATATCCATTCATGGTTCCACGTTTACCGTAGACCATATCGTCGTAAAGAAGTACCACGCAACTCCATAGTAGTATCTCATAAAGTCCCAAGTCATTCATTGCTCTTCATTACATTTATATATTTATTATTTTTTCTCTTAGCCTTCACATATTATCACTTATCCATTAGACCTTACTTCCATATGAGTTTGATATGGGACGTTCATACAATGTACTTTCACTATAGTACTAAGAGTCGCGATCGACCTCTGTACTTACTATATGTACGGTCACACAAATGTGTCCCCGCAGGCTACATTTACAATTCTGACCTTAAAAATCACTAAGTATGGAATTGTATTTTATTGACATAATAGTGATCGTATATTGCTATATTTTAAATAAATACCCTTTTTTGAGTATTTTAAATGATTTTTAACTATTTTTAATCAATTTTTGGTAATATCAATTTCTCATACTAACACTTATATTTCTTTAATTTAAGTATATATTATTAACTTTTATTGTGATTAAACGTTCTTAAACGTTTTATTTTCATCTTAATTGATCTTTATCATGACTAATTAATAATAATATTTATTATTATTAATAGGTCGTTACAATATGAATGTAAATCCCATACCCCATTACTTCTGAATGGATTATAAAGATTAGGGTTTTAGCTTACGAGAAGCTGCTGTTTTACAAATGACGGATACTTCTCTATTATTAAACCAAACTTATGTAGGAATTAATTACTGTTCTAATTTAACGTTTCTAAGTGTAGAAAGTATATTGACTATGTTAACAGAAATTAATGTATTTCTTCTTGATTAGAATATTTTTCCTAAAATTATGCCCTTTTTATTACATCATTTCTTGTAGCAAGTATCTACTAATAAAGCACGAATGTTCCATTTATGCCACATCAAAATTATGTGTAGAGACCGAACGTTACATATGTGACACTTTGAAAATCTAATTTATCGTTTATCAAAGATTTTTTCCTTATTTTTCTGAGGACTCTAGGTCATATTAGAGCTAAAATCTTTTGATGTTACACATGAATTTCAAAATTTTTATGTCTCGTCCTTAGGAGGTTAAAGATCTAAGCATACATAGGGACAGACAGACAGCGGGACGACATTGTTTTATACTATGTAGTGTTTATGTACAAGTTTCCTTACGATGTTTTCGTTCACCGCTGAGCACGTAATAATTCAGCACTGGAAATTAACAATTTCATTGGTGCCGCCACCAGGGATCGAACTCGGGTTGCTCGAGTATATTGAATTAAAGGCGAGCGCCCGGACATTGAGCTATCACGTTTTCCTAAGTAGGTACGTGTTATCGATTAACTTATTGTTACAGTTTTAATCCAAAATGTAAATTGTGTCCGATATGCAAATTAGATCCAATAAATAGGCACTGAGTTAATTGGTAAAGTATAATAATTCAGGTGAATCTGATTAAGGTAGGTGCAACGAAAGACGTACCTACTAATTGAATTTTAACTATGAGTTGACATGTTTTTTATTGTTTAATCAAACGTACCTATATGCAAATAAAATCCTACATAATATCTCTATTCACTTCCTAACTCAAAGGGCTTAGGTAGCGTTTTCGTTGAAAGCTCCCAGATGGCTTATTTTTTTCCATCACCTCCAACAAATATTTTAGCCATTGTCTACTTAAATCCAAACATATTATATAATAAAACCTTCCTCGAGAACTACTCTATCCATTGGAGAAAACAGCATGAAAATCAGTGCAGTAGTTTTTCAGTTTATCGCGAACAGACAGACATACAGACGCGGCGGAGGACATTTTTTTATAACATATAGTGTTAGTGATATAATATATAGTGATAGTGATAAAGTGATTCGCGATCTTACGACACATACAATGTGTCGTGTACACATGCGTATTGTGTGAAAAACAGTCTTATTTCGTGCTAAATATTCCCCAATGTAAAATTTAGTAGTATGATATGAATGTGTGTTCATGCCATATGTTCAATTATGTTCGCGAATGTGGAACTCAGAACCACAACGCAGTAGGTCACGATGGCCCTTCATCAAGTCTGGTTGCTTTAAACTTTGGGATACTTAAGCATTCCATATTTCGTACTCACATAAGAAAGTAAAACTGAAAGTGAAAATATCGATTATCTAATACAGAACTCACCGAGTTGAACGAACAAAAAATAAAAATCAGACAAAAATTTGTTTATTTTGATTTCCTATATACATGATGTCTAATGTGTATATGCATATACGTATAAACATTCAAATCGTGTAATTTTAATAACCATATTACGCATTACATTTTATTTCATTTAGATTTTTGAACAAAAGTGACAAACATTATTCCAAAATATTTTCTCTGTTTAACAATGCAAACGCAGAACAAGTAATGATCTTATTTATTTATTTTTATAATACATTTTCTTCTGGCTGAATTTATTGCATTAATTTATTTAAAGTAACAGTTAATTGCCTCCTTATGGATATAATTATTATCTTATCATTAACGAAGGCGCGATCCCGCATTAACCCCGTATTGTAATTTGTAATCGTGCGAAGGACCGATTCCGCGCCAAAAAGACGGGAATATTATTCGGGATAACTCCCCGTCCTGGCTGGGAGCTAGCCTTGCCCCAGCTAGTATCGAGGCTCACTGCCGTCCGTTCGCACGCATGCGTACAGTTGCTTATCCTGTTGCTCGTTCTTCCCGCTTAAGTGCAGTATCTATTCTATCTTACTGTAATATAACCTATGTTAAATAACAATTCAATGTAAACATTATTAAATATATGTTAATGTTATAAAAGTTTCTTTCCTCGTAATTTTTTATTGTAATGTCAAAGTAAAAACAGTCTAAAACACTTCAGTTAAATTATTAGGATTCGTCAAGATGTGATAATAAGTGTGAAAACAAAAAGCTTAACGAAAGCCAAAATGATGTCCTGGAGCTGTCCATGGTCTCTTAATCAACAACAATCTGTTGCGACCACTCCTCTTCAGTTATTATTGCAGGTTTGTTTTTGTGACTTTTAGTAACAAAATGTAGTGACGATTTTTAATATCGCTATTGCAAGTATTAGATTAACGATTATTAGAATTATATGTGACTTTAACTGGCTTCTTAGTCAGAATTTCCTAGTGAATAGGGTTCACTAATATGAGTATTTACTCAATAGTTATGGAAATGCATAGGAATTTTATTACTTTCAGAAGCAATATACTTAATGCATCCATTATATAAATATCAAGTTGTTTCCACGTCTGTTGAAGTTATTATGGGACAATTGTAAGATAATGCTGGTATTCAGTTCAATAATATAACTGATTGCGTTTAATGGATTTAAGAGTGTTGTGTGCATGTTAATGTTACGTCGGCCTATTAAAATAGGATGCATGCTGTGGGAGGTGAATATCTATCATCTGTTTAACGATTTCCATTTTTGACGATAGTAGTTATAGGACCCGTCACCCGATCATGGACGAATATAAGTCTAATTATACGGGGAGGCTTTTTTAAAAGGTGCCTAAATTTACATAGGAGGTTCAGACTCGATTGTATAATCGTTTATTGAAATAAAAAAAACTTTATTTCAAAAATTACCATTATATTCCCTAAAAGACAGAAGTTATTGACAACACGGTAGTCATTTATAAATAACTAAATTATACTGTTCACGAACACAAACGAACTTGTGTGCGTGTAGTTATGAATGATCGCGCGTAAAATAAATGATAAATCACACACTTTTTGAGATAAGTTCAAATGAATTTAATTAATTACCTACGAGTGTTTTAAAATATTTATAATTTTTTATATTATATTATTTATGTCTAAAATTTAATAAAAAAAAATAGATTCACTTAGAAAAGCTGTTCATTCATGGATCGGGTACATTCCATGGGCGAACAGACTTTTATGTTCGTATTTTTACTTTGATTACAATGTTCCCAATTAATACTAAGTGTTTATTATTGTAATGTGATTAAACATAGAACAATAATAATTAATGCAAGGAATTAAATTCAAAAAATATTAATATCAACTTGATAATTTTAACTGTTTTGTTGTATCGTTGTGCTTGATTCAGTAGTCTAGTCTAGTATAATTACGTCAATATTTACGAATATGCGTAAAAAAGAATTTCTGATCACTGATCAGGGATGGGAACAGTATCAGCTGTGGCGCAACTTGTGATCAGTATTCAGTTGTATGGCGGACGTCGTTCAGGGCACCCGGTTCACTTTTCGCGCTCTACTAGCGTTGACGCACCGTTTAAATACTAAAAATAATGTTATATTGATATTTTCTATATTTTTAAATAATATTTCGACTCCTTTGCGGAAAATTCTGCTCAGAAACTTCTATTTATAAAGGTTTTACAAAATTAACTCAAAATTTGTTTCTTAAATTAAATTTGACAGAAATAAAATCTGTAACAATACTAATTTGTAGTGTAAAATAATGAATCAAAATGCCTTGGAGCTGTCTCTGGGGATATGAATCTCCACCGCCGATGTGCAGAGTAAGCGGGCCACTGCATCTGATATTGCAGGTAATTAAAATAATCATACTCTATACAGAACAATTAAACACATTAGATATGATATCTTCCTACCTTTTGTTGTGAATGTGAAGATTTAAAGTATTGCTTCTAAAATATTTCAAAATTCGTTCAAAAAACAAGTTCTTTCGTTAAAAAAAATCATATAATATACAAAGATAATTTTTTTAATTTAATTTAAAGGTACTACTTAAACTATTTTATAATGTTACAAATGTATGACATAAAAAACAATATTTGATTTGCTATATAATGTACACTTGTCCGTGGGATATTTTATTTACTTTTCAGTCCTAGCTAGAGTTCTTATTTGTTACGAACTTACTTTTCGATTAAAACTAGGTATTTACTTTTGCTTGTCTCGTTGGTAAACATAATTTAGCAATTGTACTTTCATTTTAATTTTAAATTACTAAATAATTTAAAATTACTAAATACTACGAAACAAACCTTTTTTTTATCGCGTATTACCAATTTACTGCAAAAAATAAAAAGAAAAAATCTTCTTTACAAAGAATTTAGGTTACACTTGTAAAAACTATTCATAATTACATTATTAATTTAGACCCTGTTTATTGCAGAAATGAGAATTATATCCTTCCAATTTATCGCAAATTACTTAAGACACACATACTTACTGGTAGTTAATTTTGGACGTCCTATAAAAATTTACTATTTATAACATTAAGATTCGTAATAATATAGAATAACATTACACTATAAGTGACAACATTAATAATATTGTTAAAATGAATTGTCGAGGATGAAATAATCGCACTCAGGAACTCTTGGAGTCGCAGGTCATTCCCTTCCTGGAGAGAGCGGTCTTATCGCATGAGTTTGCGCCGCCATGAGAGCATTGTCATCATTTGAATTTACTTGTTATTTAAATAATCGATTGATTCTAGTTTGTATAAAATTTAACTGTTTTTAATTTAACGCTGACATTTGTTATCAAGCCTTTTAAAATAACAACGAAGGCCAAGTTTATCGAATGCAAAATAAATCTTTGTCGTGGCCGCTCCTTGAAATTCTTACCTGATTACAATTATTGTCTTATATATTTATTTCAGTTGTGTTCCTTTCACATGTATTATTCTTTTAGTAACAAAGATCATGTTTTCAGAATACATTAAATTACGTTACTTTAGCCTACGCCTTCCTTAAAATATAAAAAAGAGATGGAACTGAAATTATGACGGTGTTACTGAGCTTTTTGTATTTCGGTTTAAAGAATTTATTTCCCAAAAGAACATTACATAGTTCACTTAGATGAGAAACTTAACTAAATTATTTACAATAAAAGAAAGTGAGAAAAGTTATAACCAAAGTGGAGTTCGATTTGCCGTTGTTATAAAGTTATCTGTAAGGATCAGTTATTAATTAAGTACGTCATCAAAGTATTTTTAAAGGGATTAATGCATACAGATTCTTTTACATTTTTTGGTAATTTATTATATAGTTGAGCTCCCTCATACCGTATATTTTTACTTTCCGTACATGGTTTTGATCATCTATGTTATCTCTGTTCCGAGTATAGTAATGATGAGTTTTATGTTTAAATGTGATTTGTGAGTGAATGTTATATTTAGTATTTTTCTTATTAATGTGATGTGTGGTAGGTATAAAGTTTAGGTTTAGTAATTTAGTTTTATTATAAATTTCTTTGGTCGGTGTTAAATTTACCTATAAGTTTTTAAGAATTCATGTATAAAGTACAAAAAGTTAAGTAACAGCCTATATAAGTCCCATTGCATTGCATCCCAATACAGAGTGTATCAGGGCATAGTCCACTACGCGGCCCCACTGCGGATGGGTAGACTTCACATATCTTCTAAGTATTTTTTTTTGTTATTTGATTTCCTTACGATGTTTTCCTTCACCGCAGAGCACGTAATAAGTCAGCACTTAAAATCAACAATTTCATTGGTGCTGCCACCGGGGATCGAGCTCAGGTTGCCCGAGTACATTGAATTAAAGGCGAGCGCACGGACGCTAAGCTAAAACTTTTATATCTAATTATAATTAAATACAAACCCTGCGTAGGGGATCTTTAGAGCACTGCCATTCCTTACCGATTTGCCATGGGGTGACCGGTTAGTTCTTCCGCCTTTTTCCTTATTAAATAGTTTAATTCTTTTGATTGTATTGAAACTGCTGTAACTGGGCGAATATTTTAGACACACAGAATTGCAATTAATTCTCATACTGTCCTCTGGTATCCCAGGGTGCTGTTATGTTGCTATTGTTTTGTATGTATGACATCAGATTGCCTTGGCGAGTTGGGTTAACGGTAGAATGCTAATGTGTTGATGGCCGATGCGCCGTAGTTGCGGCGACCGCGCCGTTTCGACTTCCCAAATGGTTGCGCAAGAGCAAGTGCGCCGCCTACGCTCTGCCTCTTCTGTAAATACCTCGCCAAGTTCACTGTCACCTTAATCTGTTTTATCTGTCGGTTGAACAGGAAAAGCAACATGTCAGGAAGTGTAATGGACATTCTCGCAGAACAGTTTGGCTCGTCGTTGCCCAGCTCGAATATGAAAAAAACCATACGGGGGGTAGATGTTCAGCAGTGTGGAACTCAAACAGGGTGGAATCGTGATGACGATATTTCTATGACGGTAAAATTGATACAGTGATACTAATGTTAATAGGTGCCACACAATCTCTGCCTTCTCCAACATCATCACCCTGTAACAATATTTGTTAGAAGTGAAAATCACTATTTTATATTGGTTTATATTCATTTTAAAATACTTAATGAAGTCCCTATAGTAAAGTATTCATTCGTGTCTTATCTGTATCGCGTTTATTAGTTAATTAAGACCGTGTGCGAGACTAGCGGTCGTTTCTAAGAGGTACGGACAATGGGGCTTTCTGCGGCGGCGAAGCTTTGAGATCTTAGCAATTAGGTTAAACATAATACGCGTGTCCCATTTTTTTATATCGGGTTCATAGTTACAAAAATCTTATTTCTTTTTCTCGGCACATGGATGATTATTTAAATAATAAGTGTACAAATCACCGCTTGTATACTAGATTTAAACGGCATTACGTTGCATTACTATGAACTGATTAAATTAGTATGGTAAGAATGTTCTGTCTTATACGGCGGGAGTAACATCGTAACGAACGTTCTTTACACTTGCAAATCTTTGACACGAAAAAAAATATTTAGATTCGAGCTCGGTAATATCGATTAGATTAGTATGCACTGACTGGCGCTTTAAAGTTATTCAAGATTTCTTAACAAAACTCAATTCGACGTTATTGTATTGTTACACCAAACACTATTGCATATACTGTACATATTTATTGATACGGCTTATTATACAGCCACTCAGGTTATTTCCCCTAGTTGCGTTAAGGATTTTTTTTTAAATTTAATATGATAAAATGTAATTTTGAATGTGGATGTATATGAGTCTTAGTAACTTGAAATAAATGATAATAATAAAAAATGGTTTCGAGTTATTTTGTGTGAATGGGACTCGTAAACCGGTGACGATTGTCCCACCGCGGCGGCACAAGGCGGTGCGGCTCTGTATAGGAAAAACGCGGTTCGAGCTACGGGAACGGATATACGCAATGATTTACGGCGCATTCCTGCGGGGAGCCCGCGGACCTCTTGCGTCGCCGCGCCTGTTTCGGACCTTGGGAACCAGATTAAACCACATTCGTAAGTCGACAAACAAAACAATCCGTCACAGTACTGTTCGCTTATATTTTGAGAGTAATCTGAAATCTATTTTTTATAGCGCGTTCTATTTAAAGCTCTTTTTGTCGATCCAGTACAATAGGTATGCTTAAACGAACTTAAATACTTTGATTTTCGTTATGCTTGTGTTTTATTATCGATGAAAATGACTAATTACCTGGCGGTTTACCTGATCTTAAATGATTCCACTGATATCTTTGGTTGGCATTTATCATGGTGTAGCACAAGTGTGGTTGCAGTTGCGATTCCTACCTTTTCGAGAGTGGGTTCTGGTGTTGTCTTCAACAGCAGCGTACAAAATCCTCTACTTTTTAAATACGATTTCGTGGTATGTCCCCGGTCCGCCTTGACCGAACATGCAAAATCAGCAATAATTAGCACAGTAAAACGATTTCGTACAAACAAATCTTTTTGCAGCGGTTTTGTTTATGCGTTTAGATTTAAATTGCGCAGTAACTAGTGTGCTAGTCGTACCGGATGTTAACACAAAACGGGAATGTTCCGCGTTTGGTACCGGAAGTCAGGCCACGGGTTGCGCGGGAGACGCTGACACAGGTGCCTAATGATGCTTCTAATGAACACAATGGCGCTCCCATTGCACAGAGTCATTACATATAATACAGCAGGTAATTGCTGCAATTTGTCAATTGGCGTAATAATGTTGCGTAAGTATGTAAGATGTATGAACTCGGCGCGGTGCTGGGAAACCGTTGTTAATGTTCCGCTTAATGTAGCGCATCCGTTGTAGAATGACATTAGTTTTTAAAAACAAACTTCGCAATATAATGGACCAATTGGATGCACAAAAAAACGTTTTTTTCTTATACAGATTTTAAATTGTATGATTTTTTTAGCGACGACATTCTCTCTATGGAACATTGCTAGTTTTACCTCCTTTGTCTTAGTTTAACTTTTAACTTTACTTATAAAATTACATATATTTTGTAAGTTAAATTCTCGTTTTGCATCACAGTAAGGTGCTGATAAGTACTTAGTAAAAATTAATGTATGGATTGTACTTTCATAAGGTTATATTAAGTCTCGACTTTTCACGTTACAGCGTCTATGAACGAGAGACATTGTGTTCAAAAAAGTTCAAAAGATAGAAGTTGAAACAGTTTTATTTCTCCAAATCTTTAGTTATTTCATTTAGTTATATAACGCCAATGCGTAAATAAAAGAAAAAAATTGTTATGAAATTCAAATGTTTCAATTTAATTTGTACACATTAAGGCCACGCAATAGAGTTTTCGCTGTTGCAAGAATGGGCAGGTTCATCCACAAAACCATAGAAGACCGGTGTGAAGTGGAAGTATTATACTTCTGCGTTTCGTCTGGTGAGTGATGTAACCCAGGCCCACTTTATTAAAAAGTGGTAACGCACCTTAAACCCAAAGAGTGTTGTAAATGTCAGTGAGTGGCGGTTATCACTTAACATCAGGTGAATCGCCAGTACAATTGCCACCTCTATTTTTTGTTGAAATCCAAAACATGTTTTTTGTGAATTATTGAAAGGTACATAATTGTTCGAAAGCGGGGATAAACAAAATTACAACATCTGTATTAATAAAAAACAAAATCAACTTCAAATATATTCACTACACATTTTCTATTACATTGGAGTTATTTGATGTATTGCCGGAGTCCAAAGTCCTAAAACCAATTAAATTAATATGGGACTATATCAATATGGGAAATAGCCGAGTCCAAAGTAAAAATAATTTTTAAAATCGCTTCACAAATTACAGTTCTGAGGAATACAACGGACGAATTGAGAACATCTTCCTTTTTTGGAGTCAGTTTAAAAACATCTGTATACGTAAAAAATTATATATATGAATAATAATGTTATATAGATAATAATAGAATAGCGCAATAACTAAGCCTTCAGATTGACAAAATATATACAACTGTTGTCTAACTGAAGGTTATAACTATCGTATTACTCGTGCTCTGAAACACAAACCGGTTACAAAGAAACCGAATAACGTCGAAAAAATATCACGCTTCACGAGACATGCACAGAGCGCACCAGCTGACAGGCGCAATTGCGTCGCGGCGCTTTTGCTTCGAATTTTAAAATTCATACAACTATCCTACATTATATAACCAGCCAGCAACCGCAAAAGTGTTAAATTCAAACAACCCCTCGTCATGAATCAAACATTTTGAATGGAAGTCATAAAACGAAATTTATTCCCTTATTCGTTCATGAACAGTAGTCTAAAAATAAGCTTGGCCACCTGGCTCACACGACTTGACTTCGAGTGCGTGCAACATTATTTATGGGACTTGGAAACAACGCAATGCAACTGCAATAGTTATAACCCTTGACTTTAAATTTAAAAAAAAACGTAACGGAATACTACGCGCTGGTAGACATTGATCAAATCGCAATAGTTCGTTGTAGAACAAAATAACTTATTGTCAAACTCTTTCAAAGTGACTGGAAGTAGCAGCTGCTGTTTAAACAGCTTCAAAGTTTGAAGGTAACAGGCATAATATAATATTGATCGATCGAAAGAAGACGAGACCTCTATATTTGCAATGATTCTTATGATTCTTACTTAGTACTCAGGTGTACGTAACAATGAAAAGATTTCGCAATAGCCGTTCGTGACTAATGCCGTTTCATATATGATCGAAGTATTTGTTTATTTATCATCATGATTCGAAAGATTTAATTATTAGCGAATAAAAAATGTTGATTTAAATCATCATAAACATACGATGGCTGTGTAAGTAATAACTCCTTCTTCTTAGTCGTTTCCTCACTGCTGAGGATCGTGACTCTTATTTAAATGGTCAACGAGCTGTCTCTATCGGTTTCGCTCCGTCGCCTGGTGGAGTGCGGCGCTTATGGGGATTTCTAGGTTTTTTGAAATTTGATCCGCCCCTCACCTTTTAGGAGTACGGCCTCTAGGTCTTTTACCCTCTATTAACTAAGCAAGTAATAACTATATACCATCAAATACATTATGCCCTGCGGTCAAAGTAAGTACTACCTGCGTACTTGAATTATTACCGACGTACAAGTTATTGTCTGTTTGTGGCATTTTGTTGTGAGAAGGTGGCAAGAGAGCATGGGGTTCACCTGAATTTAAGAGTTTACCGCCGACATGGACATTTGCAACACCTATAAGATCGCAGATAAGTTGCCACCTTTTAATAAAGTGGGCCCCGGTTACCTCTCTCACCAGACGCAAAAGTAAAACACTTCTACCTTACGCCGGTCCTCTGTGAGGTCGTGGTTCTTCCGCGGACGGACCGGCTCATTCGTGCTACAGCGACACTCTACCACAGTCATGCCAGTAATCGTCAATACATCAGAAGAGATTTTTTTTGCCATTTGTCTAGAGGCAATCTCCAGACTGCTTCTTAATAACAAGTCTGCATTTTTATAGACTTTTCATGTCAACACAACATATTTCACTGTTGCACAAATGGGCGTCCGTCCGAGGAAGTACCACGACCTGGCAGAAGACCGGCGTGAAGTAGAAGTGTAATACTTTCGCGTTTCGTCTGGAACCTGACGTAGCCTGAGTCCACTTTTTACAAGGTTGTCAATACATCTACAAACCCTCGGGTGTAGCAGATGCCCATGTGCGGTGGTATTTACTTAACATCAGATCAACTCGCCTGCTCGCTTGGCAACTTTTCACATAAAAAAAGCCATGTGTGCTTTGTCCATTTGTATTATACTTAGTTATAGTTTCATTATTGTTTCTTATTTAATTATTTTTTTATACAAAAGCAAGATGCATTTGTAGAGTTAATGGGTATAGCATTGCTAAGTGATGGGCTGACGCAGCTGACATCTTGATGTAATGATT